CCTTCTCTTCTCTTTTCTTTTCCTACAAATGCAATTTGAAATCCCACATACAAATAACTCGGCGAGATATGGTGACGTGCGGAGAACAATTGAGCTAACTTTACAAAACCTTAGCTGATGGATTACAGCTTTAGTAGCAAGATTTAGCTCAATCTCCCTGTAGACAGTAGAGCAGTCGGATATTCCCAGAAGCTGCAAAAAGAGTCAAAACATGACTTCAGTCTGTTTTAAGCTTGATAGCAAAGAATACAGCAGATTTATATTGAGACTGCAAGAAGCTTAATTTTAATTCGCCGCAAAAGTGATTTTGCTAATCGAAGTGAGGTATTGAGGCTGAGGGAAGCTACACTGTGTGCAGTAGCAAAAATAAATGGTAGTCTAGGAAATATGAGAAAAAATACGAGGGAAGGATGGAAGCTGTGCCTTCGTTCGAAAAGAGAAAAAGAGAAGAAACTGATTTTGGAAATATGAATATGATTAATAGGATGAGAGCAGGTCAAAATAACATGGTGGGAAGGTACAAAAGTTTGTAAGATTATTTCAGTGTAACCTCCAAGTTCCAACAAATAATGGATACTAGATGATTGCTAGGCGATACCATCGTTCTATTAACTAATGTGTTAGAATTTACAAGGAAAGAAAAGCATTTGCAAGAGTAATGCACATGAAGTATACTCTAGAGAATAGAATGTGTTACCATATAGCCATTCTTTAAAATGTAAATGGATGGCAGATGCTAATTCCCGTTTCCGACTTTCGTCAATCTGCACATCCCTTAAAGCTTGTTGTATTTCGACCAAGGTTGAATACTGCATGAAATCAAGGGTAATACTTAAGACTTACTAGGGAATGGCAGCAAAACTGAGTTAAAAACTGTAATCTTCAAAGCAAACAGTTGAGACAAATTAACAATTTACCATGAAAAAGCATAAGCACAGATAAGAATATCAAACGAGCATAACTATCTTCATGTTGAATTAAATTCGAGACAAAATTACCTTTTTTCGCTGGGATGCCAAATAGATCTCAGGCAACGGGAATGGGTTATCTTTTGTCGACTCTGCTGATTCAGCTCCAAACCAATTAGGAATCTACAGTCAAACATTAAAGAAACACAGAAGTATTACATGTCACATTCAGAAGGGGAAAGGTCCATGAGATATCCAACAAAGATTGAACAAGAGTTACATGTCAAATACATTATCTTAGACTGTCTTAAGAAAAAAGTAATAACATGCAACCACAAACAAAGAGTTCTTGAATAAGCCAATGAAAAATTACAACTCATGTTCAGCATACCAAAAAGTTTGTGAATAGATCAGGATCCAGGCATGTAGCAGACTCAGCTTGAACATCAGACACCCCTGCAGGATGGGAGAGTGAATCGTGAGGATCAACCATGCCCAACACCAAGGGCTCATTCCATCTGTTGATAGTAGGATCAACACCAACTTGAACCATATGCTCTCCCAACTGAGAGTAGTATGTGTTGAACGGTGCGACCTGTCAAAGAGGAGCGAAAAGAAACTATTATCATGTGCAGAAATGGATGGCCCAAAAATACTGCTTGTAATATCTCAACTGAATCAGAAAGAAGAAAAAAAGCTCTTCTGCAACTATATTTTTCTAAATTTGCATATGTTATGTTCTATACAATAACCTCACTTTTTTATTTTTCTTTACTAGCCAAATATGTCATGATCATTCTTATAATAGGTTCAAGAACATTTTGCTGACTTAATTCAAAAAGAATATCAACAACTATCTAGTCAAATGGCCAACTAGCTTAACTAGACTAAAAGGACTTTTCGAGCTAAATTAAAGAGGTTAACCTAACTGCTGGTTACACATAAATGAATGCACCAACACGTAGATACATTGGCTATAATCTACAGAAGTCGATGATCCTTCTTAGATAGTAAAAATGATCCTTCTTTCAATCAAGGTTTTAAATGTCGGTTATCGGGGATTTATCGGACGGTCAAAATCCTTATCGGATAGCGGAAATCGGGGATATATCGGGGATAAGTAGTATTTATCGGAGTAATATACTAGCAAATAATAAACAAACATAAGCTTGAAAAAAAATATAATGTTAGTCAAAATGGAATAATAAACAAGCAAATAATAAGATAACATCAAGAATGAAGAACCATCTACGCATCTACATAATTATTGTTTAATCATGAGATTTATAAACTAACTTACTAAGTTGATATTTAGTAGTTATGAGCCATTATCAATATCCATAAACAAACATTAGCCAATTACCAATCAACCAAGTTCCAAAAGCAACAAATATCTCATAATTTGTAAACATTCAAAGAGCAAATTCAAAAGAAAGTAAAAGCTCCCAAATCCTACTTATCGGTCGATAAAGCCGATATTTAGAGCCTACTTATCGGCCGATAAGTGCCTTTATCGCCAATAACTCGCCGAGAAACTTCAAAAAACGATAACTGATTAAAAATCCTACTTATCCTAGCGGAAAGCTCCCAAATCCGATAACTCGGCAATAATATCGGATTATCGGCCGATATTTAAAACCATGCTTTCAATAGTCTTATAAGCATTTCTTCTTAATTGGTCAGTCATTTATTTTTGAGGACTATTCCCTCTATGATCTACCACTTCTAGCTCCTTTTCACGAAACTTACAAAAACACTTTGAACTCAAAGCTCTATGATAGGAGAATGTAATGACCTTCAAGAAGTTAATGTCAAAAACATGATATTGTATCCTAGGTGCTCATTGCATCAGATATCCTTATTCAATTACACACTCCATCTTGGGCTCAATAAACACGACATACATGAAACAACATATATAGAATCTTGCTAGCAGGAGCATAGATTCTGCAAAACTCCATTACCACTCACATTTAGAAGGAAATATTGTATCATTTGAAAATCAGACAATGACGTTCAAACAATTGAAGAAAAAATGTAAATCAATCAAAATGAACTAGTTACTCACCTGAATTTTATGATTATCCCCAAGGATAAGAGGTTGTTGATTTACTCCCAAGTAAAACACACATTCACGACAATTTGCAATACATATGCGTTTTGCAGCTGTTATAACTTGAACCCTTTCACAGTGTTCTACCCTGACAGCCTGCAGATATGAAATTTCTATTATTGTGGAAATAAGGTAGGCAATAAGGAAATAATGAAGTTCATGGTTAATTGATAGATAATTCATGTACATACATCTGCAACATTTACATGAAGGATTTTTTTAATCTATCAAGAACAAAGCTCTGGTGCATTTGCTAAAATGCATTTGTACAATTTCTACAAATTTGCAGGATGCATTGAGAAAAATCAACGCTGAGAGTACAAAGCTTGTGATAGTCTACTCACGGTTACTAAAAGTATAGTTGTACCACAAGTACCTTGCCAATAGCCCCAAGAATGATAGTGGTGTCAGAACATCCATAGACAAGAGAAAACCTCAAAGGTGCCAGTATATATATCACTGAATCATGGCAATTCAAAACCTGCAGCAGAACAAAATGTGAATCCAATGGATGAAAATAAATGGTTTATGCAGCCTGACATTGATAGTTGACATGAATTGGTTGTTATATTTGTTGTAGTTCAGTAACTTCTTTTATGGAATCATAGTTCAGTAACTGAAACCAACCTATTCAACTATGCTATCCGATATGTGATGGAAGCAATGCAATCTATATTTTAAAAAGCATGAAATATGAATATCATGGTAACAATAAATAGTACAAAGAAAAGAAAATCCGCATTCATAGAGATGCAAATTAATTTATGGCCACTCCATCCTATATAGTGAAAATTGGTTGTTCCATAGGAAGTTGTTCGCAAACCCCTGCATCAAAGAAGTCATATAGCATGTAAATTGCATTGAATTTTTTGTTTTTAGTAAACCAAAAGGGGTTAGACCCTTTCTTTATGAATTTTTCTTCTATTCTGTTAAGAGAATATGACCCATAACTTTTTAGTAAGGTGAGTCGCACAATATCTAATGTGAAGGGAAGCAAAGCAAACACAGAAGAGGAGTATTCTCCCAAGCCTACATTGAAGAGATAAATCTAAGATGTGGGGCCCAAGGTTTCATTTCACTCCCTAATATTATTACTGGAACACTTTAAATAGACACAAGCAGGTACCTCTGGGTATCTCTCAAAACGAAAAGGATATATGAGGCAACACTAGACCAATATCTGTTGAATTGAATGCACAAAATGAAATTTTAAACCCTCATCCGTATTTGCATTAAAATAGTAGATAAATATTCAAATATCCCATTAACACTGTACCATTAGGTGACATCAACAATCAAAAGAATTAGATAAAATATTTGCGAGATTTTTAGTCAGCTACTCATCTCAATCTTTATGGCACGGATAAATGAATATTTGGGTCTTCAGAAACAGACGTGAGTACGTGACAGCAATGGTTTTGGTTACTGGTTACAGTAAATAGCAAAGCTATCCAAATTGAACTACAGATTCATACTTGGCAAGACCATCGGAGACAATAAGTAAATTTAATCAACATAGTTTATCATATTTTGTGCACAAGCCCATCAGTAAGCCAGCAAAATTATAATTACCTTAACAGAATTTCCTTTGATATCACTAGCTTGTTTGACTACAGAAGATTTTGAGACACCCTCCACAACAGTCTGGCTTATAGAATATGGACTGCTTTGGACCTTAGTTTGAGTTGCACAAGCATCGGTCATAGTCACATCCAGATCAGAGGCACCAAACGATCCATGTTCTTTTGCTGCTACCTTCTCGGTGGTCTGTTTTAGAGAAGCAGCAATGTTTTCCAAAATCCATTCATGGATTTGAGCAGCTGGAACAGGAACAGCAGGCATGTCTGGATCTGAATTTGCAAAAAACTGAGCTGCCTGGCTTAGCGGAATTCCTTCAGGCCCCTTGTCCCCGAAATGAATTAGGAATCCAAGATGCATAAATCTTTCCTGTGATACAACCTGTAAAAAAGTAAGTGAGACCCTTTGCCATTCAACATGAGCAAATTCCAGGAGAACATGCAATATGCAAGAAAGTAAATTTTTGAATTGCAATAGTCAAATATTCCCTTCTCAGAAGACAGCCTAATTTTACGATGAAGAATATGATCCCCTAAACAAAGACCTGTAAATGAAAATTTGGGGCTATTTCATGATGTCATATTAGAAGAGACATAAATCTTCTGAACATCTGTTGCCTCACATACTTCTTGAGCTGTTTATTCTCCTAACTAATGAATACATTTTATTAATTTCCAAACTTCATTTGTGACAATCAAATCCATAACAGAAGAACATGGATGGAATCTATAAAGCTAATAAAACTGATCCAATTATAATGAAACAAATTTGCAGGCTTGCAGCTCTTCAAGCCCAGACTTTACTGACAAAAATAAAGCTAGCCTATACTTAACATGAAATTTTTCCAAAAGAGTATTGCAGTCTTTCCTTGATGACCTTGATATCCTTAAGAAATTACTGAAAGGTAACATTAACATGACCGAATATATGTCTACAAATCAAAGTTCCTAATAAGCGGTCATTTATCATCCTTAAAAATATGTCAAGAAATGATGACACCCATACTAAATTGTGAATAGATTAATATAAACTATCACATCACGTCTCTGGCACACAACAACAATTTGTTATCTAACCACAAATCAGAAGACACAAGGCACTTCACGCAGATATAGTAATATATACTAAAAGAATAAAATAAAACAAGAAGCCAAAGGGGAATAATGGACTATCTCAATGAGACAAACCAAAGATTCTTCACCCTCTCCTTCCACGGGCTCCGCCAGAAGGGCAAGCATATTGGCCATGTGTTTCTGCAGATATGAGAGCTGGTGTGCTTCTTCATCAGCTTGTGAAGGCATAAAACGACGGCTGTTACTGCGTACAAGCTTCAATAAACAAAGCAATAACTTTAGAACAAGAAAAACAAAATTTTGAAGAGATAATAAAAGTAGAAAATGCTATATTTCACATTAAACTTACAGGAAGAATGTTACATTAAGTTATTAAAAGCTGCAATCCACCACAAGCTATAGCAGTGTCAAAGAATATTTATCAGGTTTAGATTTAAACATCATTATCAGAAAGATGCCACATTGAACCCGCAGACACCCTTACTAACGGTAAATCATACTCCCTTTAAAAGTACGAGTTTGGGAAAATCTTTTCATGGTCAATATTACCCTTAACTTTTGTTTAAAATATTAAATTGTTATCCTAATCTATTCTAATTATCCTATCTTCTTTGAATTGACAATTAAATATTTAATCATATTCATAATGAGACTTAACATGTTATTGGATAAAAGATATACGTTTGATATAATTCAAATCCTTTACTTATTTCAGTTCATAGAGAACTACAAATATCCCCTACATAATTTATAATTTATAGAAAAAATATCTAAAGTTTTAAAAATTACAAAAGAACACTAAAAATTCAAAATTTATAAAAAAACCCTGAGAATTTCTAACCCATTAGTAAATTAAAAACATATGAATTATAAATAGTCTATAAATAATTTATAATCTATCATACTCCCTTTAAAAGTACGAGTTTGGGAAAATCTTTTCATGGTCAATATTACTCTTAACTTTTGTTTAAAATATTAAATTTTTATCCTAATCTATTCTAATTATCCTATCTTCTTTGAATTGATAATTAAATATTTTATCATATTCATAATGATACTTAACATGTTATTGGATAAAAGAGATACGTTTGATATAATTCAAATCCTTTACTTATTTCAGTTCGTAGAGAACTACAAATATCCCCTACATAATTTATAATTTATAGAAAAAATATCTAAAGTTTTAAAAATTACAAAAGAACACTAAAAATTCAAAAATTATAAAAAAAACCCTGAGAATTTCTAACCCATTAGTAAATTAAAAACATACAAATTATAAATAGTCTATAAATAATTTATAATCTACAGAAAAAAGCCTATAAGTTTAAAAAAGTTACAAAAAAAACCCTAAAATTCATAATTTATAAAAAACACCATTAGAATTTCTAACTTATAGATACTAAAATGAATATAGAATTATTAACAACCCTCAAAAAATTAAAAATTTGTAAAAAAATTTATACTCCCTTTAAAAGTATAGGTTTAGGAAAAACTTTTTATGATCAATATTACCTATAACTTTTTGAAAAGAACATAACTAATTGAAAATCTATTAAATTTAAAATTTATAAAAAAAACCTTAAAGTTTAGTGCGTCGCAAATTACCCCTCCAAAGTTTAAAATTTTTCAATGATTTTTTGTAATTCCTTGATTTCAATTTAATGTTTAATAGTTTTGTGTATTTGTAAATTACAAAATTTAGGGTGTTTTTTTATAATTTTTAAAGCTTTTGAGGGTGTTTCTTTTGTAGTTTTCTAAATTTTTATTGTGTTTTCAATGTAATGCATAGATATATCAATTAATCATGATATTAACGAGTAAGTCGTTCTTAAGATGTATTACGTCATAGGTAAGTGTGCACATCATTATTCCTAGGCAGTATAGTTTATATATGCAAAAAATTTCGGATAATATATATAGTGGTTAAAATGATTTTGACTTTAATGTACTGTTTTTTATAAATTATATTTAATGTGAATCTAACATATAATTTTAATACGTTTGATTGATTTACTATATAGGTATATAGACCATAGATTACTTTACTTTCTCACATGAACTAATATTTGACAGTTAATAATTTAAATTATTACTTCAAATTTAATATAAACCGGAGTTCTAATAACATTTATTTATTTACCTAGAGGATAATACAATCTCAATTCTTATTTTTTGCTTGAGATTTGTTCCATAGTTTGCGTATCAAATTAGAAACTAAAATAATAATTATTTATGCTTAAATTAGGATGATTGTAGTTGGTCACTCACTATGGAATTTCCATGAATACATATACCTTACTTTTTATAGCTATCTGCATTGCCCATGTATATTTTATAAATTAGTTGTTAATTTAACATATTAAATTACTTTTCCTTTGTATAAATTCTTCTTTGACTTTTGGATTGTGTAATCACTATATCACCAGTCTAGCGTAGAAAAAACATCACTCTAAATTGCTTCAAACCAATGTTTGAGTTGAACTGAAGTATATATTATTGCTACTATGTGTATATATTTTTTAAGAAATTTATGTTAATATTTTTTAAACAGAAAAGAATAATCTAACATCTGATATTACAAAAACTAAATATAACCAATTGAGTGATTAGCAAAAGAGAACTTACATCACAAAAACGTGAATAATAAGATAAAGAGGAAATGTAATGATATTACCAACAATACTACTAATAGCAAACTACGATGTAAAGTTAACCTATTTTTTGGAGCCCAACTATTGGCTATAAGCATCAAGGTTTCAATATATGTACTTTATAATTTATTAAAAAGGGTTATATAATCTTATATAATAAAATTAATTTAATACTAAATAGTAATATCATTGTAATAATATCATTATTAGAAAAAATTCTTCGTGAACCAGTATGTTCTTTATGATATATAAGTTATGCACTAGAGCAAAATGTTTGAATACGAGCCTCTAACATTTTGCTCTCACAAGAGCAAAATCCATTTAGCAGATGTGGATATTCCAAATAAGTTATATGTCCTATATACAATACAATTGCCCTAGACAAGTGAGTTATAATAGCATTTTTTATTCATATTGCTTGAGACAAGATTTGATAGGGACCTTGCATCAAAGAAAAAATATATATTCAGAGCACATGACGGAATATATCATAATCTCTCTGTTCTACTTTCGTAAGAAAATAATTCTTTATACTTTCAATTTTACTTCTATGATAAGGAGAATGAGTTATAAAATTAAATGAGAATATTAGATAATATAAATATGAGCGAAATTACAACTAAAAGTTAATGTGAATATGAGCTAAACTATAACTAAAAGTTTAATGGATATATTACAAGTAAATTCATATGCAAAATTTCTTTGCGAATTGAATGATCATCCATCTTTTGAAGAATTTAAGATACTAATAAATGGATATATTGTACTAGATCAATGTGTTTATAACTCATAAACAGTAGATCACATGGCCACAGTCTAAGTTGAAAGAAACAAGGACATTATTTCAAATGAGAGATTATTGAGTTGATGATCAATCCCAAAAAAAAACTTTATTTTTATTTAATTTTTATTAATTTAAATAATCATCATATTCAATCACGTGTATTGCACGTGCATCTCAACTAGTACCTAATAAAAACACATCTAACGTACTAAACAGAAATCTCCTAATCCCCAGATAAGCCCTAAAACAAACCATAAACAACTCAAACAAACAAAAATCCACAAAATAATATATATGAGAGAAAAAAACCTAAACCTGAATCTGCGAGAGAGCCGACAAGTACCCGTCGAAACGCGAGCGGTCGACCGGCACACATCCGAACAACGCGCGAATCCTGTGGTCCTCGCACCAGCACTCTTTATACGAACTGAATTATAAAGAAACAGCACCAATCATTGACAATCCGATCCCCGCCGCGCGATCTCGGTCGAGGGAGGACACGGCGAGCGTGTCGAGACGAGCCGCGTGTTCGAGGGGATCTGAGCTCGTCGGTTAGGGTTTTGGGGGTCGCGCGTGCTAGGGTTCGATTGAGATGGCGTGTGCTGAGGGCAGGCGTAGGTTAGTCGTATCCGTCGTTTGCACGATGAGCTTGGGGATTGGGAGGAGCGCACGGTGCTCGAAGGCTCTCGGCATCGGCGCGGCGGAGGAGAGGCCGAGAGACTTCGTCGGTCATTGACGCCGATGAACAGCAGATCGAAGAGGTGTTTGGGGCGTGGCGTGAAGGGGAAGTACGTGGCTTATTATTGATGGAGCTGGGAATTTTGGCCTAATCTACTGCTCTGCACAAATCGGAGAATCTAAAATATCCACTATTCATCCTACATTAAATACTATATGTAGCAAATATGACATTAGACTTATGTTTTTTGAAAAAAAATGTTACTATAGCACACGGGAATACTGTAACAGAGACGGGATACTGTACAATTCAAAAAAAATCTAAAAAATTCGTTGTAGCAGTTAAAACCGGTTTCCACACTAGTGTTTATCCAAGTCGAAATATTTAAGGGTGTGTTTTACAATCTTCCAAAACTGAAAAATGGTCGCCGAGTTTTAAAAGATTTTTTTATTTGATCTTGTTTTTATTAGGTAAAATATGATTTCTAAAACAGTTTTCTTTTGGATTAAGGGGACTAGTTTAAAAAAAACTGGTTTAGCACAAAATTAGATCTGGATTGATTCTGGGATCAATTTTGTGTAGTTTGCTAAACACATCCTAAGAGAATATAAATTGACGAGTTTTTTTATGGCTCATGAAACTGTTGTCTGACCTAATTTTATTTATTTTTATTTTACTTTTTTTTTGTAAAAAAAGAGGTATGAAAATTTCCTCTAATTTATAAAGTTTAGGAAGATTTTGTACAAAAGGCAAAATGTTTGGGAGACTTTTGTGAAATCCGCCATACAATTAATTTAAAAAAGTTAACATATACGTGGTTTTTTTATATAAAGATTTGTAAAAGAAGTGACTACGCTCGTTTATCGACGTTTAGGTTGATTATTTCTCACCCTTTGTAATAGTCACATGTTAATATGTAATTGTATTCTATTTGAGATGTGTATAACTTAATTTTGAATAGAAGTCTTTTTTTTTTCATCACAACACAGAGTAATCAATATATAAATCATATTGGTTGCGCGTTTAAATTTACTTCTCAAACCCCAGAAAAGACTCAATTTTCAGTCGTTAACAAAATAATACTCAACCTATCCCTCAATCACTCGAGAAAAAAGAACAAAAAAATAAAATTTTAAAGTAGTTTTCAACTTTTAAACGCTTCTTTTTGGCTTCATTAGCAAACAAACTAAAGTCGTGTCATCTTTTTCTCTTGGCAAAAGGTTGTAACCAAAAGCATCCTTGAATTATGACCTCTCTGTGTCAAAATCAAATAAGTAGCCAAATACTTCCACAAAGTTGTTAGGTTGATTTTTGATCACCCTTCAATATTACACATGTTTGGGTGAAGAAGAAATTTTTGATTTAACCCCAATCAAAAATTTACGCAACGACTATTTAGCAACGACTATTTAGCAACGAGTTTAAAAAAAAAATTACGCTTCACTTCGTAGCCACAAAGTAGGGTGGTTTTTTTAATCTCGTTGCTAAATAGTCGGGGTTGCCTATCCCGACTATTTTGTTAATACACAAGCTAAATTAGTCGGGGTTGCCAACCCCGACTAGTTTAGCTTGTATATTAGCTAGGGCGTGCAAAATAGTCGGGGTTGACAACCCGACTATTTAGCCAGGGCGATTAAAAAAAATCGCCCCACTTCACGGCCACATGCTGACGTGGCCACGAAGTGGGTAGATCCTTGTAAATAAAAGGAGACCGGGTTGGTTTTTTTCTAAAAGTTAGATTAGGTTTAAATCAAAATTTTCTTCTTTGAATGAATTTCACAAACAATAGAAAATTACCCTCTCTCCCCATATTTATTTATTAAGTGTGCTCAGTCTCTATCGAGTCTTCTTACAAAAAATTCAATCAAATGGGCTCCAAATGATATGCGGCCGCATCGCAAAGAATGCGTAGATGTTGGTGAGGCGGAGTGTCACTTGACTTATTTGGGACTTCCATCATCGATCTAAAGGTCTAAAATGAGAGCTTTTGGGGCTCTAAAGAATATGGGTTGAAAAAGAAAAAAAAGTACATGTGTGGCATGAGAAACTCCTTTTAACTCCTTAAAGAGGTAGCTTAGGCCATCCCTACTTATGTGCCATGAGTGTGTTTCACTTGCCTGTATTGCTTTGCAACGAGCTCAATTCTACATTGGCAGTATTGTGGGTGGGGGCCCTGGGGGGTGGAGCGCAAAAGATGCACTGGTAATAGGGGTGCTAAACCGTAACCATATCCGAGGAAATACTTGTAACAGTATCCGTTAGGGTACGGATATGGTTACTCAAATCTATAACCAATAGGATATGGTTTTGTAGTGAAACATCCGTATCCGTATCCGAAATATCCAAATACATATTAGTCATACTCTTAAGATAGTTTCGATTCTTAGATTATGGGTTTGTGATTAATTTTGATGATCAAGATGTCTAATCTTAACTTTTCAATTATAATGAACATATTAAAGAACTCTTTTGTATCACATGAACTATGTTTTTCTCCATACTATCTATTTCTCATATCTGTTTTATATTTGCATGCATATCCGCTCATATATCTGCATGTATATCCGTAACCGCATCCGATTTTAGAGGATATGGTTATGAATTTTCCTTACCGAGGTATATTTGTATCTGTATCCGTATCCGAGATGGGTAAGCGGATATGGATATGGTAAGCATCATATCCGAGCCGTATCCGGACCGAGTGCACACGAAACTGGTAGAATTGGGGATAAATTGTGCAAAACAAAGACTGACAAGAGGTTTGGGTTTTAGGGACATTTGAGTTTTAGGGACATGGAATCATTTAACATGGCTCCTTTGGCCAAGCAGGGTTGGAGATTCATTGTGAATCCAGAATTCTTAGCTGCCCATATTCTTAAAGCTTTCAAGGAGGCTCAATTAGGACAAAACATATTTCTCAAAGTTTCAATTGTACTTGTTGTGTAGATTAGGAAGTTTCTTTATAATTTATGAGAAATCGATGAGTTTTTTTTAGAACTATAAAATCATTGTCTGTCCTAATTTCTTTTTTCAAGAATTATGAAAATTTCATCTAATTTATAAAGTTTAGAAAGATTTTGTTAAAAAGGGCAAATGTTTAGGCTACTTTTGTGAAATCCACCATACAATTAATCTAGAAAATGTTGTAAATATAAATACAATAAATGTGGACATTACTAGAAGAAGTCTCTTCACCTACTTGTGACTTTTAGTATTCCCTTCCACATCTATATAATGTAATCCATGGAAGATAAAATGTATGATGGAGAAATGAGGATGAATAAAATGAGATGATCACTTTCTCCCTATCTCTTCTCTTCTCTATTTATTTGGAGAAATGAGGATGAATAAAATGAGATGATCACTTTCTCCCTATCTCTTCTCTTCTCTATTTATTTACATATTCATGTTTGATTCTTACTTTTGATATGTGATGTATGTAGATACAACAACGAGATTACAACACGTTATCAGCACGAGCAGCTCTAGCCGGTTTGTGATCATCGGTTCGTAGTAATAGATTTTTAGATGTACATCTTCTGCAAGAGATTCATAAGAAAATTTTGGAAGAAGGAACGCCACAAGTCAACAGACATGTGTATGGTGTAAATTTGATTTCCCGAAAACAGGGAGGGTTCGTTTGTATTAATAAGAAAGCTTATTACAAACTAATAATCAAATGGTTACAACAGAAGCAGAGGGAATGCCCTCTTTGTTTTGTGTGGGGGCTTTAGGTGGCTATAGGACGCTTCGCTCGATGCTCGTGTCGAGTCTGCTTCCCTTGGACCGTTCGATCGAAGTTGCTGGAGAGCTTCAGTTCGCAGTAGAAGCTCAACTCGAGGGAGTTCGGGTCTGCTTAGTTCGTCGGCGATCGGAGCTCGGAACTAAAGGAAGGCCCATCCTTGTATATGAGGCAACGGCCGACTGCTATCCGAGTGGATTTGACCAGCATTAATGAACCGCATTTATGAGTTCGCAGATCGATGAAGTGTCTGTCCGATCGCTCGTACTGTGCGTGACCGCCCGGCGTGCTTTGAGCACGGTGCTTTCTCCTTTCCGGTCAGGAGAGGCGGCGAAGTAGGTGCACAGTACTCGAGTGGGTCTAGCCAACTTGCCGAGTGCCGGCGGATCCAGCTCTTGACTCAGACAGCCGAGGTGAGTCGCATTTATGAATGCTCAGGTTGACTCGACACCTGTCTAGGCCTTCGTACTGTGAGCGGCCGTTTGACGGTCTGGGGGTACCGTGTTCTCTCCCTTCGGGTCGAGAGAGATGGGATGGCCCATCCCAGCACGTGGGGTAGCGGATACCCAGCTGTACTAGTGGCCTTGAGGTTTGCAGGCGGATTCGTCTTTGGACTCGCGCAGGCGAGTTGCGTGAAAGGCGAACTTCCGCTATTCCAAATGATCTCAACTCGTGCAGGCGAGTCGATTATTCAGGCGAATCTGGAACCGAGCACATTTGACGGCCATGCGGTTTAGTCATGCGACTTCTTGTGGGCGAATTTCCTGTAGGCTCATCAGAGGTATATTTTTTTTTATCGTCTACAACATGTGGGACCTGTCTTGGCATTGAGTATCATATCAAATCACAAAAATAAATCTGAGAACACAGGCAAGATGCTAAGGTTTCCTTGATGTGCCAGTATGCAGCATTGTCGATATATTAAGGCACC